TAGAGATTAATCCAGACATAGGGCAGTTAATTGTCAGCGGTTACATTTGCGACAAGGATCTTGCTCACATTATCAGGAGACTGAAAAATTCAAGCCATGACAATCTGCACGACCGTTACCTTCTAAATGAAACACCCGGTTATCTTTATCTCAGATCTTCACCACAGAACAGGTTATGCATTCCAAAGAGTAGCAAACTCCGACTCGCCCTGCTTCAAGAATACCATGACTGTGTGACTGCGGGGCATCCCGGTCGAGATCGCACCTATTTGAGACTCGCTAGATATTTCTATTGGCCCGGAATGGGACTGGATGTAAAGGCGTTTGTCAAGTCAAGTGACGTCTGCCAACGAGTTAAAGGCGGCCAGCTAAAAACTGGTCTCTTGCTGAATTTACCAGTGCCCAGTCAGCCGTGGGCGGATATCTCGATGGATTTTATCATGGGTTTGCCTAGGACCGATACAGGTCATGATGCTATATAATTATGTATTTGTAGACCGCTTGACAAAGTGTGTACATTTAGCACCTACTTCCTCTACTATTGACGCTAAAGGAAGTGCTGATCTGTATATTCAACATGTATTTCGACTGCATGGTTTGAGTTCTAGTATTGTATGTGATCGTGATCCAAGATATACTGCAGCATTTTTTCAGGAATTGTTTGATCGCTTAGGACCGAAACTAGCATTTAGTACTGCCAATCACCCACAGACAGATGGCCTAACTGAACGAGTAAACAGAATAGTAGAGGATGTGCTGAGGGCTTTTGTAAATCATAAGCAAGATAACTGGGATATGCTCCTACATCTCTGTGAGGTTTCTATCAACAGCGCCACTCAGTCATCTACAGGAAACACACCGTTCTTCTTAAATTAAAGTCTAAATCCCAGAGCGCCACCCGACTTCCTCAACCCTATTCACGAAGGCAGAGATTCAGCTGATTGGTTGCAAGCAAGACAAGACGCGGTCAAGATCTCACAAGATGCGCTAGTGGCAGCTCAAGCTCGTCAGGCCTTCTATGCAGATCGGACAAAGGTCGAGGGAAAGCTGAAGGTGGGAGATTCGGTAACGGTCTACCGGGATTTCCTTCTGACTCCTGAAGCTCGGGACCGACCATCCCATAAATTACGCCCCAAGTGGTTTGGCCCCTTTCCTATAACCCAGGTGGTCGGCCCGAATGCCTACAAGCTCAAGTTGTCTCATACCAGCCGCTGTCAACCGGTATTTAATGTGTCGGCACTCCGTGCCTACTAGAAGAACGCTATTCCTAGTAGGAGCTGAAGATACCCATGCAGCATCCATCCGTCGAAGGCTCGCAGCGGGTGGTTTATCCAGTTGTGAATGGTGGTCCACTGTCAAGCGTGCCGGTGGATGTGGGCGTAGCCATGATATCCCTACCCTCAAGGAGGAAAACGGCGAGGAGCTAACCACCAGTAAGGACAAAGCAGAGAGCTTTGCCCGCTACTTTTCAGCGAAATGCAGCCTTGGTGATGACCTTGATGCCAGCGACCTCCCGTATGTACGCCCGCGATCTGATGCTTGTCTGAGTACCATCCACTTTAGGCCACGAACGGTATGCCGTGAACTGAGGAGGATTGTCCCGTCCAAAGCCACTGGCTCGGATGGTGTACCAGGACAAGTGTTGAAGCAGTGCTGTGAGGAACTGTGCAGGCCTGTGGCCCAGCTCTTCAGCAAAGCATTCCGCCAAGGCCGGAAACCGTCACTGTGGAAGCTTGCCTCAGTTGTACCTGTGCACAAGAAGGGTTCAAAGTACGCAACAAAGAACTACCGACCCATATCCCTGCTGCCAATACTGTCAAAGGTCATGGAAGCTATCATCAATCGTAGCCTTATGGGATTCCTTGAGCGCCGGCACATCCTCACCACTAACCAGTACGGCTTTCGCTCCGGCCTGGGAACGCAGGACCTCCTTACCCTACTACACCATCGTTGGAGTACCATGGCTGCAGGGGGCGGAGCTGTGCGGGGTGTTGCTGTGGATATTGCTGGAGCGTTCGATCGAGTCTCCCACCAGGTCTGATCCACAAAGCCCAGCAGTACGGTGTATCCGGCATGCTCCTTGCATGGTTGGGGGACTACCTGCTGGACAGGCGCCTGAGTGTTGTCGTTGGTGGGCAGTAGTCCAGCCCACACCGCATCACAGCCGGTGTTCCGCAAGGTAGCTTGTTGGGACCGACACTGTTCCTCCTCTATACGAACGATGCCGATGACCACCTTCCACCAGGTGTGGATCTGGCCCCTTATGCCGACGACACAACGCTGTTTCAGTGCCTGTCCACCATGGATACCATTGACCACAGCTCGACAGTCCTGCAAAATGCTCTGGATGCCCTTTTGAATTGGGGCACCAGCTGGAGAATTGCGTTCGAGCCAGCCAAGTCCCAGGCCATGACTATTGACCATCACCGCCCCGCCTGGGACCTACCAGCAGTACAGTTTGCGGGTGTCCCCCTGAATGGAGAGAGTAACCTCAAGCTTCTTGGGGTAACCTTGGACAGCCAACTTTCCCACCGCAACCACCTCCGTACCATCGCCATCAGAGCACGCCAGCGTCTCGGGCTCCTGCGGAAGGCCTCGCCGCTCCTGGATTCTCGCAGCCGAGCTACAGTGTACCGTGGGTTTGTACGCCCAGTAATGGAGTACTGCCCATTGGTCTGGATGGGCGCAGCAGATTTTCACTTGCAGCGACTTGACCAGACGCAACGCTCAGCCCTCCACTTGATTGGCCCCGGCGCAATGCTGCAAAGCCTGTCTATCCGGCGCATGGTAGCTGCATGTACCTACATTTACAAGCTACTGTGCTGCAATCCTACCAGCCCACTTCGTCAGCTCTTGCCTCCCTCTCAAGCCCCCCGACCAGCCCATGTTCGACCCACTTGTCTCTCTCTCGTCCGTCTCGACATGCATAACTACCAGCTTGAGACAGGGCTACCTGTCAATAGCCGGGAAAGTTGCCGTAGAGCTTTCCCCGCCTGTGCTGTCCCTGTATGGAATGCCCTGCCACCCGCCGTCCTCAGCCAGCCACCTGACCGGAAACGGCTGCAAAGTTTCAAAGTGTCTGTCTTCCAGCACCTCCGTGCCCACCAATGGCACTGGGCCACTGACACTTTGTAAGATGTATGCACATCTGCCCACACACTGCTGCATATTGCCATACGCCTCGTGCCCTGCTTACTCTTTTCTCTGGTTCTGAATGTGCACCCCTTACGCATTATATAATTATACTATATTTAGTTCTCTCCCCCTCTCTTGCGCCCAACCCTCCCCGCTCGCTCTCTCTCTCTCTCTCTCCCTCTCTCTCTCCCTCTCTCTCTCTCTCATTTTTTATTATTATACTTTATTTAGTTCTCTTTTTTAGTTCTCTTGCTCCCCAACCCTCCCCGATATCTCTCTCTCTCTCTCTCTCTCTATGTCTCTCTCTCTCTCTCTCTTTCTCTCTCTGCTATTGGCGCGCCTGGTTGTGATGAAGCCGAGACCCAAGTTCGGCAGAGCATCCCAGACCACGCCACCACTCCCCTTATTCATGGCTCACACAGGACGGGTTTACGTGGCTCTAGTGAAAAAAAAATGAAAAAAAGGAGACAGCCTACGCCTCCGCCTATCACGGACCTTGATGGTAATACCCGCTATGTGGTGGAGAACGTTCTCAGTCACCGCCGCCGGCAGAATCAGCTTTAGTACCTAGTCAAGTGGCAAGGCTACTCTGATGCCACTTGGGACCCTGAACATTATTTGTTGGATGAATCTGGTAATGACATTGTTCCACTTCAGAAGTACAAAACCTTGGCTTCTGCCCGCTGAGTTTTGCAGTTGAACTTCTAGTTTTCACCTTGTTTTGAGCTTATTACACTTTTATTTGCATGGAGTTTCAGTCGTCTTGTGTTACTTCAGTGTGAAGCCTTTTTTCGTCTCGCACGTGTTTGCGCTTATTGTACTCTATTCCACGTGAACATTTGGGTTATATGCTCCTTCCTCTCCATAGGAGGGGGATGATGTAACAGTTTTCCCCTGTTCGCTTTAACTTTACACTCCCTCGCACCTCGTGCATCTTACGCCTGTCTATTAGCACCTTCATTGGCGCCATTGCCACATGTGTACAATCACCTTTTGCATATAACTGGTTGAGGCACGCTCAACCAGGTCTCCTTCTTTTCAAGTTCGATTAAACCTGTTACAAATGGCAGCTCTACTTTAAGCTAACAGCAGCTCTACTTTGAGCTAACCGAAGCTCTACTTTGAGCTAACCGCAGCTCTACTTTGAGTTAACAGCAGCTCTACTTTTAGCTACCAGCAGCTCTACTTTGAGCTAACCGCAGCTCTACTCTGAGCTAAAAGCAGCTCTACTCTGAGCTAACAGCAACTCTACTTTGAGCTTCAAACCAGTTTTTTTCGAAACCAGCACTCCTCAATCCAAAGATGCCTCATTGCTGACTTGTTTGTTTGAATGATGGGCCTAATTGGGTATAACATCCTAAAGGGGAAGTAAGCCTGAAATCAAATTTTCACCAGATGTAGTCTTCGGGGTGCTGAGTTGAATGGTCTTGGTCCGAGGAAGCTGAGACGCTCCCTTCCCCCTGTATTCCCAATCAAACTGGAGCACTTCCACCGAAACTGGATGACTGCGCCCCACCAGATGGAGATTTGTATGCAAATGTCACTAAAAGCGCCATTTCGTTTTTATAAAAGCACGGATGACTACGATTGGCCCATATGTTGTAGTCTGTTGGACGCTGAGTCGACTGGTTTTGGTCCGAAAAGGCTGCAATGCAGCGCTTGGCCCTCATGCCCAATCGAACATGGCCGAACAAGCGGTCACGTGCTGCTGCATACACCAGTCACCTGGTCACCGCGCCAGCAGGTGACAATTTTCACACCAAGGTTCAACTCAAAGGTTCAACCCGAGTGACTGAAACCCAGTTGTACTTACTCTACGTACGGCAGAAGCCTAAGATTGTGCAGAAATAACAAGGTCTACTTACGGATGCAGTGTTTGAGGTCTGCTGCAAGCTGCGGAGCGTATCCCAAGAGCAGACTTAAGAAGAATTGCTCTTGGTGCTTGACAACCTTCTCATCTAACATTGCTTGAATGGACGCTGGTGTGTTGGGAATGGTGAGAGCTCTTGCGCGACTGGAGTTGGCAATCAGTAGCCATTCCGTCATGCAGTTGGTGTCTTCAGTGACCACCGCAGCTGGTGAATCTATTGAGAAGGCGACAGGATATTGGAAAATGAAATTTGCAGATCAAACATTTGGAAATTCGGTAGGCACATCCTCACGGGAAGACATCGGAAAGAAACTAGGTGCTTTTCGACGTGGAAGGAGGAACCTTGCTGTCCAGGCCAGAAGGCAGTTCTACTTGTCAGTAGTCCAGAGCAAGCTCGAGTACGCCAGCACTGCCTACGTCCACGGCCTCGCTGACAATGTGAGAGATCAGCTGCTACGCATAAGTAAGAGAGCACTTAGATGCATATTTGAGCATGACACATTCACGCGGACATCATACTTGCTTGAGCGATACCACATAATTAGCTTAGACAAAAGATATCATACTAAGTCCATATTCTTCGTGTTCCGTTGCATCCACAATATCTGCAGTTCACTCCTCTCTGACATGTTCTCCCTACGCCGTGACTGCGCTCACACAGACAGAGTAACCCGCGGCCAAGTCAATAATTCCCTTTCCTTACCCATTGTGCAAGCTCAAGCTGGATACAGATCTATTTCACTCCTTGGTGCTGACCGCTTTAATGCGCTTCCCGAATCCCTTCGCACAAATCATATCCCCAATTCATTTCGCCAGGAACTTAACAATTTCATTCATCTTGGGCACCCTGTAAGAAGACCTTAGGGTCTGTTGGGAATGCCCAAGTAAAATAATAAAATACAATACAATACAATACACACTTAACCCACAGTGCATTGTGACATCATGGCTGCGTCTGCACACTCTAGGGCTAAGCGTGGAGTTTTCTCTCATCCAAAAATGGTGTGCAGTCATCTCTCATCCTTCTACGGGACTACGGGAGTATAATCAATACTTCAAGTATAGGCATATCCGGGTGTAATACCGGTATGCCGCGGCCACAGCTTAGTTTAGGCTAAATGGCTTCAATGAAAGGAGAGAGGAGAGAAAGAAACGGGAATAGTGGATCAAATTCAAGACTTTACACAAGGTTTTTGCCAAGTATTAGTAGCCGTGCATTGCTGGGATATAACCAAGATTGAACCACATAAGACAGGTACGTCGGTCCTACTCGGAATTTAATGGTGAGCTTTCATCAAGATTTCGGATAAAAACACATTAAAACCAAGTACTGATTTCAGAAGTAATGGTACGATAGGCCTCATCAGATCTACAACTTCGTCTCTTCGTGCGCTAATATGCTCCCGTCATATTGCGTGGTGATGTCTGAGGCATTCATACTTTCCTTAGCTCTGATAAAACTATTGTATCTATAACAGATACAGGTTCCACTTTGTTCTCTTGAAATTTAGTGGAACCTGTATTGAGTAACTGAGTTTTATGTTTCGTTACATTGTCGACAGATCTCCTGTGTACCGGTTTTATGGCACAATGATTATAGCCATTTGTCGTCTCCATTCTTGTGCAATCATGCATATGTAGGTTGGTTCTCTTCATCTTATTGTGACCTATGTCATAGATGCTGGTTGCCTTGTTGCTTTCTCTCCCCTCTCCTCTCACCCAAGCCATTCTGCATAAGGGAAGCTGTGGACGCAGCATACTGCTGCTACACTTCAGCGCGGGAATGCGTATACTAATACAGGGGTGCCGGAAGGTATTTTAGGGTGGTGCGGTCAGTCATCTGAAGTACGGTTTTCTCATGGGGGGAGGGATGGCGGAGCGGAAATTTTTGGAAAATTAGAGTCCAGATCAGTGTATTTTAATGATTCACGGGGTACCTGGGGCAAAAAGTGGTACGGTCAATACCGTAGTGACCGTACCGTGTCCAAAGCCCCTGTAATAATTATATACATTGAGTGAGCTATCATCAAGATAACACCTGTTCCAGTGTCAGTCAGACGTATCCCCTCACCTCTACCGTCAGGTGCTTCACCTGCCGCCGGATTTATCGGGTGCTTGGGGCCATCGTGAGTTCCATTCAGGAATGGACACGATCATTTACTTTTATGTTCTTAATTTGTTACCATCAAGTTGATGTTCTGTCCTCTTGAAGCCCGTGGTTGTATCGGACTATGCTGACTACAGCGTTATGGTTCTCCAGTCCGGACAGTGAGAACTGGTTTTCAAAATGAAAGTACACAACTGTGCATCCTGCATTGTTATGTCATATTACCAGGATTACGATCCTAACCTTCACTAGTAGACACATTACAATCCTAGGTGAGAAATATCTTTTTCCCATTTGCAAATTCATAATGTCAGCTGGTCAGGTTGGTATGATTTCAGTATTATACATGTTTTGATCAATATTTATGCACTTTAGAAAACTGTGGGCACAAGGTATGCTATCGAGTCCACCAGCTAAAACAGATTTTGAACAGTCAGACGTGCATAATCTAGCACAAACGTACGTCAGATTGTTCAAAATCTGGCTAAGTTGGCGGAATCGGTCGCGCAACTTGTGCACTCACTTTTGCATGCTAAAATATTTCCCTTGGCTCACCATCAAAAATCTTTAAAAAAATTATGTACTTTGGATGATAATTGGGGAAATGTTCACGAAGATACACCTGTTGTCTGGCTACATCTCTCATTTTCGGTAAAATAAAATCCGCCGAACACCTTTACCACACACTCGCTTCTGAACAGAACAAAATTTATGATGAATTTCAATTCAAACTCTTCTTTTTGCTGCTTTTTTTTCCAAAGGCTTATTGTCAATTTTTACAAAAGGTGAAACGATACCCACGTAAACTAGTGGTGGATCTGTGTACATGTCCAATATACAAAAGCGAGAATTCTCAGAATTCCTTGAGTGATACCACAAAGGCAGACGAGAACATAGACAAGAGTCCAGATCAGAGTTGCAAAGCTGCGTTTCATTCATACATGTATAGCAAGGCTAAGGTAAACCTCAGACAACTGACTCAGTTGTCTGAGGTTTACCTTAGCCTTGCTATGTGCATTAAGGTGGCCCCATACATGGCTAAAAAGACGTGATTTTTTGGACTTGGAGCAAAATTCTGCACACTTTCGCGTGTTTCCATGATACGACAAGTTGCGCACGGTCTGTTCACAATCAATACAGTGCTGCCAAAAAATGACAGCGTGCAACAAAAAATCTTTCCTTGCAAGGGCACATTTTCGGCCATATCTCTTGAACGGCTGGTCAGATCGAGACAAATTTATTTTTCAGAGATTTTGCAGCTATTCATGCTATTTCAACTGATCTAGCGTTCGCCATGAATTTACAAATCCGATTTTTTAGGAAATTGTTAGGTGATATGTCACCTCAATTAATTAAGGTGGCAGCTTACCCATAAATTTCATATGGCATTCAATTGACCGTAACTTTGGTGTCTCTCAATGGATTTGAGTGACATTTTTTTACACACTCCTGCCACTATCCTGGTCCTCTGGACATGATTTAAAAGTTCTTGCGCCTCACTGAAATGGCTTTCCAGGCCGGAAAAACTCAAAATTCCGGCATAGTGCCACGGTGTGCGAGCCATCCAGGAGCCAAAAAAATGCATTTACAATTTTTTCACATTTTCTTGCCCATTCTGTCCCTGCGCCGCGGGATCCAAACCTAAAAGAAGTCCAGAAGCAGCCATGGGTGGTGGGATAGGGCCCCTGAACGTGCCCCTGGAATTTGTCACAACGGCACGAGTGGGCGTTCTCTCACAGACTCCCACAGACCCAAGTCAATTTTTGTTTTGTTTTTGTTTAGCACGTGCTACGAGGTCGTACCTTTGATAAAACTTACAGTGCTGGGGCCTCCACAGCAAGCCATTTCCACAGCGCTGCACACCAAATCCAGGATACCCGAAAAATCGGCAAAGACTACCACTCACGTTCCACAACTGCCTAGTACTGAATCCTACCTGACTTCTTGACACGACTCAAACTTGCCAAAGTCACTAACTCAACGTCAACTACAATAATCAAGCCACATATCTGCAACGTAACCATTGGTAACGGGGGTGCTGGCAAAAGTCCTGCTGCACGGCGGCGGGCGAAGCCCCCCCCCCCCCCGCCCCCGCTGTGCAGCCCAATACATGGCTAAAAAACGTGATTTTTGGACTTGGAGCAAAATTCTGCACACTTTCGGGTTTCCATGACCATGATACGACAAGACGGTCTGCCCAGATTCAAATACAGTGCTAGTGCTGCCAAAAAGTGACAGCGTGCAACAAAAAAAATCAAAAAAATCTTTCCTTGCAAGGGCACATTTTCGGCCATAACTCTTGAACGGCTGGTCAGATCGAGACAAGATTTTCAGGGTTTTGTAGCTATTCATCCAACAATGATCTAGCTGATTTTCTCTGTTCTCTTCTACAGTCTACTATAATTATGTATGTACTTGTACATGCATTACTTGCTTGCATGCAAATACTACTTTGTGTCTGGCTGGTTTGACAAGTTCCTGTCATACAGCTGTCACCAGACCAGCCCTGTGAGTACAGCAGGTGATGCATGACTTTATGCTTTGGCACAGAGATCATACAATACTCTTAGGCTGCAATGCTGGTACATGTATGAATTGTACATATTATTAGATGTACATGTACACATACAATGGAGACAAAATGCTGTGGAGCTGTAACTTCAAGTCTTGGCCACCATCACACAGCCGCGCTTGGATGCATGCCGAATGCTGCTGTATGATAATCACCGATATGAAAGTTGAATTCACAGCCACACTGGCGTCCGCATCCATTATGTCATCACTGTTCTATACATTAGTTCATAGAGCACTCTGATTCAAGCGGCCTCGACCAATCTGAATGTTTAGATAGTTCTTTAAAAAAACTGTTTCTGACCGGTCATAATAAAATTGAATTGAGTTTCATGCACATCACACCGCTGATTGCCATAAACGTCTACACACACACAAGATAACAATGTACATGTACGTCGTCTACAACGTACGTGGTGTTTGACTGTTATCAAACTTCTTACCGCCATCGTCCGGCACCACTGGTGTTGGTGAGGCCATAGCCTGTCCACAGTTCACCGTCATCACCAGCAGCAGCAGCAATGGAGCCAGATACAGTAGTAGGTATGCCATGATACTGCCTAGCTGTAGGCTGCGCATAGCTACACCTGACACCAGAGGGTAGTTCGCAGTATCACTATCAGACTACTGGGTTAGCTATCGGACTCGAGAACACCTGATGATCAACTGGAGAGGAATTGGTTGAGAAACAAGAATTGTGGGCCAGTCAACGTTTTTAGCACCTAATATTCTAACTCACTTCCGTTCATGTACATTCATACGTTGAGCGGAGTAAAGCTTGAATATGCACATTGCGGCCTTGGCGGCTCCAAATCCGTGCCTGGAACGGCGATCGCGAGTCACCTCACGCCCTAGTAGTGACAACCTGTCTGGTTCCAGAACATGACATTGACAGTCTGGCACACAATAAACAAGTCCATGGCTGACAAAGCAACTTAGTCTTTGTCCTACATCACGTATACTCACGCCTGTACACAGTTGAGCATGTCCGTGGTGTTTGGACTCTTGCAGTTGCTAGGTGATGTGTGCTACTCCAAGTACATCTACGAGTCTACAACATGTTCATGTTCATGTAGTTACCAGGGGCGTACATAGGGCGGTTCCCGGGATGCCCGGGAACCAGTAAAAAAAGTTCGATATGGGTACAGAGAATTTTTTGATCCAGTCCCAGCGCTAGTAATGCGCTCACAGACTCACAGACTCAGTGCAAGTGCATGTCTAGTCTGGAGTCCGCCTGCCGGTCCGAGGACGGTGACTAGCCCAGGTGTGAAAGTGGTGCTGGGAGTGGGACACAGCGTAGATCTACTGAACTGGGCCATGCCTGAACCCATCTTGGGTTCAACAAAGTCTCTAGTCTAGTTACATCGCCGGATTCCTCGATCTCAGAGTCAAATTTTCTGTTGGAGTTCGTTTTGACAAAGTTGGTCGTGTTTTGACGATGCTTTCGCTTTGTGGAAAAGAAAAATGAAGCGTCGACATCCAGAGGGCCAGCGCTCTATTCAGAGCTATTTTGAGCTGCACTCCTGCAGGCAAAGTGTGCAGCCAGTGCTCATGGTGCTAGTGGCGAAGGTCAAGCGATAGATGAGAATGCAGACGCACCTGACGTGCAAGTGAAGTATGCATGCAACGAGCAGCGCTGAGGAAGAAATCGTCGGCGAAGCTGTAGAGCGACCGTTGTTGGAAGCTGCTGGATCATCCAAAACTTACTTCAATGACATGGGAGTGTGTTGGAAGGGATATTCTGAAAGTCGACGTCCACAGTGGAATCCAGTCCCCCGAAATTTGCTGGACACGGAAAAGATTTCCGTCATCGACAATCATTGTGCGCCACCGCAGGCGAAGGATTTCATTTCCTGTGCGTGTCCAGATGGATGGCAAACAGCGCCACTTTCAACTATCCTTGTTGGAGGAGTTACCCTGGACAGTCTTTTGACAGGCATGCAATGGTGGCTTCTGCTTGCCCTGTGTGATGTTTGCTCCAGATAATTCGAAACTTAGGCAGCTTTCAAGACTGCATGCAATCGTCATGCTGAACAAAACATCCATAAAACGGGGAAAAGTTCAGTCCTTTAAAATCATAAATGCGTAGCAATGACATCGTCCAGCAGCTTGTGGATGGCAATTTCACCCAGTCTGAGGAGAATATGCAGAAACTCTGTGGGGTACGAAAAACAGCACTTCAATTGTGTGTAATGGTGGTTCATCAGTTGGCATGGGAACCACTCCTGGAGGCGAGCGGCGTACGCCCCTGGTTACTATAAAATAATGTTTTCAAGCTCCACCAGATTTAGCAACACCAATGCTATTCCGTTCTGCGTACCAATGATTGACACCGACTCACGCTGCTATCTGGTGTCACGTGGTGATTGTCGCACCACTGGAAACTGAGTGTCTCTGTACGTTTGCAGCCCTGGTGATGTTTGGCACTGGGAACTGAGTGTCTCTGTACGTTTGCAGCCCTGGTGATGTTTCCAGCCCTGGTGATGTTTGCAGCCCTGGTGATGTTTCCAGCCCTGGTGATGTTTGCAGCCCTGGTGATGTTTGCAGCCCTGGTGATGTTTGAAACCCAGAACATTATACTAACCCTGTGGTGGTGCTCTTCGGACAGAATCTTTCTCAGCCTACTCAATGTCAACTGTTGAAGCGAGGATTCCCGGAAACATGGTGCATTGAGCAGGGAGTGGTGCTTTCCTGGTGAAGTCAAGTCAGCGTGAAAACGCCAGCTCCGGTGCACGGAGCAACAAACGTTGATATGACTGGAAAAAGAACTTTCGCATGAAAGTGATGAATGGATGATGGATGAAGAATGAAATATTTTGAAGTTAAAATCGGATACTGCGCCATTACTATTTATACATGTACTTCGGAAGTAAAATGGAAGAAAACACATGAGAACTAGTTATGTAGCAACTTAATATCCAAGAATGTAACAAGACAATAAGAAGTCAGTGGCGCAGATCATTCAAGGTCTCAGTTGCCTGTCAGTTTTGTGCGCTGTCATTGTACTTTCTCACTGCTTATTATCTTGTTACAATCGTGGATAGTTGTTTCATAACTTGTTTCCATGTGTTTCTTTCTCTTTTAGATAATTTTTTTATAATGATGAATGATTGCTTTCACATGAAAATGTTGAATGGTGTTGCCAGGTGGGAACACAACTCAAAAGAACATGACTCTCGTTTTACATGTCCTCCTTCTCCTCAGCGCTGAACTTGAGATGCGACCATCCATAGCAAATACCTGTTGTCTGTTGCTGCTGTGCCACTATTACCAGTTCTAGCACTGTGCGTGTACCTCAAGTACATGTACTTCATTCTTGAATGTAAGTAGGATTGTCCGTTTTTTGCTGCGGTGATTCAAACAGATGTTGTTGTTTTGAACTTCAAGTTGAACGTTGTCGAACACTTTGTTTATCAAAATATGCTTCACGTGCCTGGGCTCGTGCATGTGTATGCAAACGTACGTCGTTGAGCCGGAGCCATAACAACGCTGACACTTGGATCCACTGTAACGTGAATCCAGTGCTGCATTGTAAGTCTCAGCATTGCAACACATGCTACATGCTATGTATTGTAAGTCTCAGCATTGCAACACATGCTACATGCTATGTATTGTAAGTGTCAGCATTGCAACACATGCTACATGCTATGTATTGTTAGTGTCAGCATTGCAACACATGCTACATGCTATGTGTTGTAAGTGTCAGCATTGCAACACATGCTGCATGCTATGTATTGTAAGTGTCAGCATTGCAACACATGCTACATGCTATGTATTGTAAGTCTCAGCATTGTAACACATGCTACATGCTATGTATTGTAAGTGTCAGCATTGCAACACATGCTACATGCTATGTATTGTAAGTGTCAGCATTGCAACACATGCTGCATGCTATGTATTGTAAGTGTCAGCATTGCAACACATGCTACATGCTATGTATTGTAGTTTGACGTACATGTTCTGGTAAAACTCCACCACACCTAACACGTGACCTTTCAATACTGTCACTATTATGCTACGGTAGTGCTGGTGAAACTTAAAAAAGTAAGGCTCAACTCTTGTTTGTTTGTTTGTTTGTTTATTTAGAGTCGAAGAACACCCCGCGTTACAATCGTCTTAGAAATCTAGGGAGCAAATTTATTGGTTTGAACCTACATGCTAGTCTCAATTTGTTGTCGCATACAATTCTAACAACCACCTGGCAATTGTCCTTGGCATGCTCATACATGTATTGCTGCCAGACCAGGAAAATGTAGATACATAATGTTGCATTTCAAGTAGTTACTGAATCTGCGGACAGAACTGTTTCGTCCTTTGTGGACTCAACGGCGCAGAACAGAGAAAATTAGGCAGAACCAGATACCGGTAGTAATGAAATGTAAAATTTCCAAAAGCAAGATTTAAAGCAGGCCCGAACGTACCTTGCCGGGCTGCTCAAACTGACAAATCAGTGACCTCTGCATAGCGCAAACAACAAAGTCACTACCCCACACGAGAGTGGTCAACTCCTACAACGTCAAGAGTAGGAGCGAAATACTTTTAAAATCTACGGACAGAACTGTTTTGTCCTTTGTAGACTCATCAGCGCAGCATAGAGAAAATGAGGCGGAACCTGATAGCAATGAAAAATAGAATTTCCAAAGCCAGAATTGAACCAGGCCCCAACGTATCCTGCCAGAATGCTCAAACTGACAAGTCAATGAGCTCTGCATAATGCAAACAGCAAAGTCACTACCCCACACAAGAGTACTCAATTGCTACAAGAGCAAGACTACATGTATTGTAATTATATTAACTGGCTCAATATTCGAATTATGTCTTGTTATGAACTGACAAGTGACAAGGAGAAGGAGGGGCACTCCGGGAATTTTTACGGTAGTGTGTTCTCTTCATGGGGGCCTTATATGGCCTCCAAGGAATGGGGAATCGCGAAAACTAGACCCAAAAAGTCGATATATGAAGCCAGGGAGGGCCAAGTTTGTCTGCTCCGCGGAGGGTTTTGATGACGTCACCTGTGATTAGTATTCAAATTCCCTGCATTTGAAGGTGTTAGTTGTTTGCATTTTCTGGTGATGAAGAACGACGTTTGGTCGACATTCCCAAGCTTCACAACTGCAACTTGAAGGGCCTCCTCAGGTGCCCCTGGTAGAAGCACAGCGTGATGAGGGCCAGGAGATTGGAGCAGACGACTTCACTGGTCGACAAAGAAGAAACGATTGGTGTTCCTGCCAGAAATGTGGAGTGATGCAGACGGCAGTCGATTGCCTTTGCTGTCGAGAGAGCGATGGAGCTGTTAGCATTGACAGCGCTTTGACATGCATTACGCATCACCCCCACTTCCCGTCTGCTTGTCTACACAAGTACCAGCTCCCCATCCGATCCCTCCTCCTGCTTGCGTTTTCGCTTGAGGTAAAGTGATTCCTCTCGAGGCCGTTTTCGACGTGGAACTAGACTTTGCAGACACGCCTGAACTCTAAAATAACGTTGGCACTGCACCGTCCACGCGACGAGCTTACGAGGTCGATTTTTGCCTGACTGGCTGCTCATCGCTCCGCTAGCCATAAATTCGCTCATCAGATCGAGCTGAAAGCAGGTCCGTTCAAAGTGGGCTGAACACAAACGATCCCACTTTATTGGCTCCAAGAGCTTGTGCGTTTTCCCACCGGCGACTCGAGCTGCTCTAACCATGTTTTTGACCTATGAAAGCCGCCACTCAGCGTCGTAGGAAACGTAAACCACTTCAAAACTGTGCATGCCTCATCCTTCGAATCGTTTGAACAGACGGGAGCACAACACCTCGACATGACAGACAGGAAATCTGAAGCTGGCACATCGACGACATGAAAGAAACAAACTTGAGAACTACCATGCAACGCCTCACCTCGACAGTTTCAGCAGTGTTCCCATTCGAGCTCCGGGAGCGCGATTGAGCTCCTAATCACACTTGACGTCATCAAAACCCTACGCGGAGGAGACAAATTTGGCCCTCCCTGGCTTCATAATTATATCGACTTTTTGCGTCTAGTTTTCGCGACTCCCCGTTCCTTGGGGGCCATACGAAGCCCCCACGAACAGAACACACTACTGAAAAAATTCCCGGAATGCCCCTTTAACTCCAAATCTCTCCCTCACAGAATGTATAACACTTCATTTTTCTAAATCCAACAACGTCTTGTTATGGACTTCCAGGAGTTCCACTACCCCTTAGTAAATTCACTGTGTGGTACGTAGGTGAGAATAGGCCACTGATTGTCTGCAGACCAGCACTCACCGTACCTCTCAGGGTGACAGCAAATTCAATATTTCTTTACTTACTTTGACCCTGAATGCCAAGTGCAATAACAGTACTTGTACAAAATATTTTTATGACCAGAATCCATTTCCTTTGATTTCGGGCTGGAATTTCACACAATGTAAATCTTACTTTGTGAACCGTTCTTCCTGAGACCGCAAATTACCAATAGAATAGGACAAAGCGATGCCGAACAGCTGATGATGCCGTCATGAGCACAAAATGGAAGACGTTTTTTTAATTATAATTGAAGTGGGGTAGTGAAGGATTGAAAACGTTTCTGCATTGACTACAGAGCAAGTGTATTCTAACTGAAATAGAAAGGAGTAGACGAAAAATGTGGTACATTGCGAGTTCCGTACTAAGGACGCTGTTGTAACAACCGCGTGTCCCACAAAAGTAGAGTCAATCATGTGCATTACAAGGAAAGCATTGCATACTGGTAACAGAGGTGCAGTGGAAAACGAATTGTGGAAGTTTTGAGATGTAGAACAGCATACATACATACATACATAGGTTTATACCTAGGTACATGCAGATAGATAGAATGGATAGATATTAGGGATAGATTGAGTCATTAGATAAAATGGATATTTCAAAGTAGAAAAAGTGGACAGATAGAAAGATCAATAGACAGAATACAATGTAGAAAAACGGGAAACAAGTTGTATATTCTAACGCCGTGTTGCCTGCCTCAGGGAGACTACCAGAAAACAGTAAACACTACTAGATTGTTACAGAGATGGAAACTTGGGGGTGAGAGAGAGAGACAGTAGAGAGGGATAGATAGAGAGATAGATAGAGAGAGAGAGAGAGAGAGAGAGAGAGAGAGAGAGAGAGAGAGAGTAGAAAGGGAGAGAGAGAGAGAGAGAGAGAGAGAGAGAGAGAGAGAGAGAGAAAGAGAGGGAGAGAGAGAGAGAGTGAGGGGGAGAGAGAGAGAGCGAGAGAGAGAAAGAGAGAGAGAGAGAGAGAGAGAGAGAGGGAGAGAGAGAGAGAGAGAGAGAGAGAGAGAGAGAGGGAGAGAGAGAGAGAGAGAGAGAGAGTAGAGAGGGGGAGGGGGGGGGCAGAGGAATTGGGAGGCAGACTTCTAGTTCTGTTGATTATTGCAAAGTTCTTCGATATGCAGAGTGGCTGTGATGCTGCCTGGACCAGGGTAGTAACCCAGGTGATACCGGGATGTACTGCATTGTGCCTCTATGTGTGTAGAGAAGGACAGTGGACCTGAAGTGTTGATATTACAAATACCACTCACAACACCAGCATGTATTTGATTGTAGGCTGTTGAACCAGCGCTTCCACTTCTGATAGGGGCTGGGTCTGAGCAGTCTCTGCCGTTGATACGCACTGACACCTTCACACAATGCCAGTGATTGTTAGGATGCTGAAATCCAATAGAGGTTGTGTACACCACTCTGATAACAGTGTCAGGTCTAGTCTTTTTGAACACGACTCCACTGAACGGGTTTCGATGGTTACTCGATGTCTCCATTGTAAATGTCTTCCATGATACAATACCACACTGCAAATGACATAGAAGTAGATTACAAACATGCACATGGTATGAGCATAGCTTTCCCAATTTGTGGCATGCGGTAGTGATGTTATTTAGCCAGTACGATGTTGAGTAGCCATTTTCACTTCTGTCAAACCCAGGAATAGGGTTTACTCGGTGTTAACGGCCGTCGTGAGTTCCATTTAGTGAACGGACACGATAATAATTATACTCTTTTTGTTTACTTAAACTCAGGAATAGAGACGGAGATGAGGTAGTGCTGGGAGACAGCTAAAACAATACTTCTGAAGTAATAAGCAGTTATACCTAAGAGAGTATTAATGGTCCATACTACCAATCTCTCTGTAGAGTAGACATGATACCGGCATGTGATCACATACTGGTATCATGTCTACTCTAAATCTCGTTAAAACCTGCTGCAGGACTGCAACAGCCTCCAATCAAACCTCTCCCTAGTCATTTGTCCTTTTTGGACTCCCTCAACTGTAATCTGTCCCTCTGAGACTAGTCATTTGAGTCATTTATACGCCAAGCCCTCGTAAGTCATTCCAGGGACAGCACTTTCAATAATCTTATTATTATATTAAGACTAACCTTGTTTCTTTCCTCCTGCAGAGCAGCATTTAATGATGCAATCTGCTCAACAGAATGTTGCTTCATTGACTTGAGATGTTGCTTCGTCTGTAGGAAAAGATTTGAAAAATGATCAGATAGACACTAACCCTTTTCTCCGATGTTTTTCAAATATTCTCATTCATTTTTAATACTGGCATGAAGTACAGACACCTAGATAAAGATGTGCATGTTCCAGTCCGAGGATTTGAGTTGCATAATAGACACTGTCATTCTGCAATGTGTGAAAGGCCAAAGATTATGTGAAAAAGTCGATGTTTGACCACTTGAGCCAGACTGTCATTTGGAACGTACATGACTGTATCTCTGGATATCTGGACAAAACTACCGAATGTGTGGTCTGACTGATTTCATGTTTTGTTTGGCGTTAGTTAAAAGCTTGTCCTGCCATCTGTGCAAGCAGTTGGGTAAGTTGTTGCCCATTTGGCCAATTGAGCATTGAATTCTGCTTGGAAGGATTGTGGCAACTCTGTTGCGACTCATGGTGGATTACGATCTCTTGGCCTGGATTTATGGAATACCCTGGTGCAGTGATTGAGATTTCCATCCAGCACATTATTGCAGTTCTGATCTACTCGAGTATCACCTGCTACAAGGAGCTGTGACATATGCCCCTTGATCTGCTCTCAATAACAGAATCCCACGCAAGCCGTACGGCATGCACCTTGCATATGGAAACACTGCATTGCTTTCCTACCTTCTGTCCTTCCTCCGTCAAAGTGGCATTGATTGCAGCAAACTGTTGAGCAGAATGTAGCCCCATGTTCATGAGGTGTTGCTTGGTCTGTGAGAAGGAGTTCACGTAAAATGAATTAGACTCAAATACACCAGGAATTTGCTTGCCCAGAGCTAGCTTGACTACACACTCACTCAGGTTGTCTGAGCATGCAAAAATGTTCATTGCCTAGCTACCGATTTGGATCATTTCCATTAGCTGTAGTTCTGGGAGAAAAGTACTCTTTAACGTTGTTCAATGCAGACACTGGGTCCTGTGGCTGCTCTTCCGAGAGGTCACAAGTTACACTATTCTCAAAATTCTATTCTCTCACGGATGACGTAGGTGTGGGATCTTCCCAAAACTCGACTGATATTAAATCAGGCTGAGTACTAAGAACTGATTCGACTTTCTACAGGAAAAGTCATGTGAGTTCAATGGAGACTTGGTCATAACATCACGAGTTCAAATCCTTACAGGAAATTTTACTGTTTACAGGACAACGACATCCTACTGCGCTGTACATGTATGCTCACGTATCACTTGTTCAGTAGCTGAGTCTGCGATTAAAGTTAAGCCTGACTGAATCGCACACGAAGTTTGAGATATTTCAATCGGATAGGGTACATTCACACACACACACACAGGCTTGGATGCCTTGTATTATGATACCAGGTAAATACTGCATTGGCATGCTTACCTTTCGAACTTCTTCCTGCAGAGTGGCATTTATTGATTCAAACTGCTTAGTAGAATGTTGTTGGATGGTCCTGAAGTGCTGCTTGGTCTGTGGAAAGAAATGGATTGAAATCCGCAAAGAAACACACTTCCACCTTGGTTTTGCATTTGATCACCAAACGGATGCAGACATGACAACGTGTGTTTTGAACATTGTGGAAATGAAACCAGTACAAATAACCACCAGCTTAGTCACTACGTCTAAGACCATGATTGAGAAACGAGAGGTACCAGGTTCAAGTCCTGCTTGGAAGCGGAAGGATTTTTTCAACCGTGCTGCGACCCCACAGTTAATTGGGAACTCGTGGCCTGGCATGAGTAAAACATGGATGTGGCAAATGGGATTTGAGGCCTTTGGCCTCTGGCTGGTGGATCTGATCTACTGTATCCTCCCCCACCGTTTAGGAGCCGCATCTGACGCCTGATCATGGGGTGGTGGCGTCACACGGAAGCAGAAAGGTGGTTCTTGACCAGGGAGTTGTACGACTCCTTGTTCTTGACCTGCCCGGTACGCGAACCCCTCGATTTTTTTAGTCACTACGGGAAGTCGGGGCATTTTGTACTTTATAACTGCAATCATTCTGTATGATTGAAATATCTCAATCATTCTGTATGATTGAGATATTTCAATCATTCTGTATGATTGAGATATTTCAATCATTCTGTATGATTGAGATATTTCAATCATTCTGTATGATTGAAATATTTCAATCGGACAGGGTACATTCAAATGGGCTTGGATGCATTTTGACATCAGTGAGATACTACATTAGTATGCTTACCTTTTGCCCTTCTTCCTGCAGAGTTGCATTGATTGCTCCAAACTGCTGAGCAGAATGTTGTTGGATGGTCCTGAAGGTTTGCTTGGTCTGTGGAAAAGAATTAAATTTAAACCACAGGGACAATTGCCCATCGCTGGTAACCAAACAGATGCAGAAATTTAAGGTTTTGTTTGTGTACACTAATACTCCAAACGAAGCCAGTGATATTATTCGGCCTCTGAGGCACTTGATATAATTTGTACTTATATCTTCCTTCATTCTGTGGTTGGTCCAAACTGATCACCTCCAGTTGTTGCTGGAAATATATTTACAAAGATATCAGTACTGCATGTGTCCATATGGGATGGAATGCTTGGAGCAGATTGCCGAGTGTCTGCGTTTTCTATCACACTTTACCTTCTTCTCCTGGGCTCGTTGGGATAAGTTCAATGACGACATCTCCTCCTCAATTGCGAGCAGTTTCATCTTATTCTGCAATTATAGCGCAAAAAACAGTAATCCGTGTGAAAGACTGTAGATTTATTGCTGTGTCATACTTTTGTCTTAGAAACAGGAAGGAAGAAGATGCAAATGGAAGGAGTGGATGGAACAATTTCCAGGCTCACATTATATATTGGTGAGGTATAACAGGAAAGTTGAAGCAGTGATTATGATGATGTGCACTGATTGCTGACCAAAGTTGTCACCAATGGGTTCGCTCAGAAACAAGTTGAACATTTTGAAAGCATCCGAAATAACAATATCTACTTTGGGTTGTAGAATGTCACTATAAGATTGATTTGGTGACTGTTATCAGAAGTAAAACCAAACAGGGAAGCCACGATCGATTGTGTGTGTACCTGAATCTCCATTTGATCCACCTTTGCCTTCTGTTGGACAAATATGGTAGTCAGTACTTTCATGTCGGAGAGTAGCTTATGGATTTGAAGATCCCTTGCTTCCAGTTTCTCTTCCAGCTGCTTGTTGTATGTTTTAACCTCTTCAATTTGGTAGCAAAGCTCGCTGTTAGCAGATGATCCGCACAGATCGACTAACACAGGTAAAATCAGAGCAAAGTTGCAGAGCAAAAATATGTTTCTAACGATAATCATTATTTTTCTAACAGGCGGCGAAGTGACAACATTTTTAAGATGGAAATAAACAGAATCAGCTGAAGCGACATGTACGAAGGTTTTATTGAGATGTAAAGTGGTGATGGTCTTTGTCCATCACCACTTTACATCTCAATAAAACCTTCGTAACATTTCGATTTACAAATGTAGCTGATTCTGTTTATTGCCATCTTAAAATAATTGTTTTTCTTTCCCTGATAATCAGTATTATGATTCAAACCCAGTCAATTCCAGCCGTTGAAAAAATCTTCATAAATTGCTTCACCGAGTTTTTCTTCTGCGGCTGACCCCACGCACTTCCCAAAAAAGCAAGAGGTTCCTTCTGACCACCTAATTCATTCTCTGGCTGTTTTCTGTCATTGACACCTAATCAGAAATTTGATGGAAAAATATGCCCACAGCTACAGCCTCTTTCTGTGGTGGGAAGTGTATGTGGTTGGTCACAGATCGCGATGGATCCATTCTCGGAGATTAAATTTCCGGACTTCTGCCCTTCCAAAATTGGAATATTTATCATGCAAGTGTGTGAAGTCTTTCCAAGCGTATTGTGTTTCTTTGTGTGTCTTGTCCTGGGGTTTGTCCATATCTAGTAATATATTCAACATCATTAACAATGTGACACTTACCTTCGCAGTTAGTACCATCTCCCTTGTATCCAGATTGACAGTAACAAGAGTATGATCCAACAGTGTTATTACACATTGCATGTTCATTACACTCATGTACACCAGCTGTACATTCATCTAGATCTGGACAGAGAGCGCAGGGGAATACACAGCAGATAGATACGGATCCATCGAGACTTTCAGTAAGGCACGTGTTTGTCTAGTACAAAACAGAAGCCGTATTTGCTTTCTTGGCATAAGATGCACGCGGTCCGTTCAGTTTTCGAACAAACATAGAGGTAAACTGGCATTGGCAAAAGGCACATACAGGTAAATGAAGGGTCAATGATTGAAATAGACTGCACACAATGCAATCTTCAAGAGAATTCCCAGGAAAAGTCTTTATTATTTATTATTATTATTTCACCGTCCAATAACAGAAGCCAATGCAAAGGAGGGGGCGTTAGCCAGCCATGGCAAGAGAAGAAAAAAATGAGGGTATCCGTCATCATGTCACAAAATGAGGTAAGTTCAGGTAGGGATTGCGAAGGAGGGCGATACTGACAGCCAATGAGTATAGGATTAGCACCCAGGTCTGCAGGAAGTCCAAGCTCAACCCATATGTTTTCGCGTTGGGGAGAGTCAAGGTCTGAGCGCTTGGCTGCATGCTAAAATGTCCCATCTCGTACAAGGATGGCAACACCACCATAACCTCGGAACTGGGCCCTTTGGTTTGCTGATATTGGCCTATCTCGGCGGAAGCACGTATAACCGGGTACACTGAGCATATGTATCGGGCAGAGCCAGGTTTCTGTCAGACATAGGATAGTCGGTGTGTTGGATCGACACAATGCATGGAGTTCAGGGATTTTGTTCGACACGGAGCGACAATTAATCATAACAATAGTGATATTATGTTGAGTCTTAGGAAAATATGGGAAGGCCTGGGCGCTCAGCGGTGCGGAAGCCATCATTCTGACGACGTGGAGGTTTGACCTGGTTTGTTCGTATTTGAATCTGCAAGCCGCCACTTTCTTACGGTTTGCTGGATAGTTGCAGGCCAGAATCCGTCACCCAGTACCTTTTCCGTAGCTGAGGCTGGGAATGTCACTCTGGCGTAAGCTGTTCCGAAGGTATGGGATTCCAAGATGGTGCAGTTGAGCACATCCTCTGCACGCTCTTGGCACCAATCCTTGATGGATCCGGCACTGCAGCCCATGTGGACGTTTCCTACATAGAATATCGCTTTGTCCACCTTTTCGACACCTGTCAGGACTACAGGGTTTGTTTCGACCGTAGGCATAGGCTTGACGTACCGAGATGTGACCCGACGTCGTACAACATCTACCCAAGTCCATCTGATTTGTTGCGGGAACTGCTGTCCGTAGTGACGTGACCGTTGCTAGCAGGTCTAGGTGCTGTACGAGTAGTGTCTCTGGACTGGGAAGCGGCACGTGGTTGCGAGTGCATACCGGTAGTACGGTCATCTGAACTTGAGCGTGCATGCTGCGATGTGGAGGTGTGCTGTGATTGCGGTGCAGTGGTGATGGATGTGTCAGTTTCATAAAGGGAGGGCTCTACGGTAACTTCGTTAGCACTTGTGCGACGGTTGTGGGTGTCATTGGCAGTTTGAGAAAGTGCGCCTGTAGTGAAGTTCCTCAGCTCTAGTACTTCCAATTTTAGGCTGGAAACCTCATCCCGAAGTGAAGAAACAAAGGCATTATCATGCTTCGCTTGCTCAAGTTGCTCTCTTAGCTCTATCACTACACATACAAGCTCGTTTAGAGACTTCAGACTACTAGTAGTACTTTAGGGTTCTAATATAGCTATGAATAGGATGAAGGCCGCAGACATCACGCAACTACGTTACTTGTTTGACATGTATTACTGTGTATTTTATAACAAAAATATTATTGAAAACCCAGAATCGATTTTCTCGTTCCTATCATCAGTGGGAAAAAACGGAACTAAGGATACAACCAAAGAAACTGAAGTTAAGTACTGTAAATAGAAAGGTGTTAGAAATAACATCAAGATACAAGTGCAATTAAACCACTAGAGGAAACGCAAAAACTGTGTATTTTGTTATAAAATACACAGTAATACATGTCAAACAAGTAACGTAGTTGCGTGATGTCTGCGGCCTTCATCCTATTCATAGCTATATTAAAATTATTATCTCCACGTAGGTTACTTTAGGGTTCGTTCGTTTTATTATTGGTAGGCTGATTTGGCTGAGGTTGGTCAAACTGCAATGTGCTCTGCTCTTCCCCTTTTTTGTCCTGTTCCTTGACTCCCTGGAAACACGCACTGTGAATGCCTGAAGCCGAAACCTCAGATCAGCGGGATACGTCAATTACACCACCAGAGATGCGAGTTCAAACCCCTCTACTTTGCAGTATCTGTTCCTCAGGTGTGTGACCTTTCGTGAACAAAGTCTCTCGCCCACAATCGAATCATCACAGTGGTGTTAAATTATCATCACGCTTACCCTCGCACACTCGTCCGTTGCCCTCAAATCCTGTATTGCACTCGCAACGAAATGATCCATACATGTTATAGCATGTTGCCACTGCGGGTTGGTCACAATTGTTACGACCTGGTGCATTACATTCATCTATATCTGCAGTGAAGCAATCGCAAGAAAAATGAGCGAATGGGTGTCAATAAAAAAGAAGTTGGATGAAAGCCAACAATCTCGTATTCCAATCTTTAATATCAGATTATCGGTACAGGGCCTATTACAGACTTGTATTACAAAAGAAACAGCAGTAGTAGTAAACTCACCTACGTCACACTGCTTTCCAGTCATTCCTGCCTGACAAACACAAACAGCGGACTGTTGTGTTGCGTTGAACACACATTCTCCAGCAACGGAGCAAGGTAGACGGCTTGTTAAGTCTGCTGTGGGGCATGACGGCCTTCGACCTGCAATGGGATTCGAGTCAGGAAGACCAAATGTTAGAAAGGAAACTTTGACATACAGCGAGTCTATATTATGCATTTGCTCATCACAATAGATTGGCGAAACTGAAGCATTTCGGTGTCTCTCCTATGTCCTGTCTTCTTGTGTTTGCGATTGCCCTGACGTCTTCTGTAGAAATCGTGTCCAGTGATTGTAATGTATTTTTACCGCTGTGCTACTTCACTCGTGAAGTTGAAAAAGTGTAAATTACCAGCAACACTCTCACATCAAGCGCTTGCATTGCCACCCCTATCATTAGTTTGCTCGTTTACCCATCATCGATGCATGGGTGGTGACATATTTGGCATAGCATGCTAGTATATGCACCGCAATTTGTATGGTGTGACAAACCTAATGTAAGAGAAACTTGCCTTTTGTCCCGGGCTCTATCCACTCCAAGCTACAGCACATCCTTGTTTTTAGTTTTTCTCTACAAAATCCATGCATCTCCCGACACTCAGGTGAATGTGTTGGATGACCTACAGACAAGACCCCAGGCTACATCCAAACTACGAACACGAAAGGTACCTATCCCAGAAATCTCAGAAACCATGCATGGCTGTACGTCTTAGTGCTTGCAAGGAAGGCAAAATATTGCACTTTGGTACGCCACCGTTGACAGAATGTGGGGCCGTTTTCTGCAGGTCAGGTGCGGCACTTGGTATGCTAAAAGTGGTGCCACGCAGCGCAGGTGGTTGCTGTTTCTGGTGCTGTTTCCATGCAGAAATGCCAGAAGTGGAAAACTGCAATCACAATCGCGAGGTCACTAATACAGGAGATAAATTATACCAGGTTTAATGTTACACTACTGGCAGAAATACCAGGGTTAACTTACGAATGCAGTGCTTAAGGTCTGCTGCAAGCTGCGGTGCGTAACCCAAGATGAGACTTAAGAAGAATTGCTGTTGGTGCTTGACAACCTTCTCATCTAACATTGCTTGAATGGCAGCTGGTGTGTTGGGAATGGTGAGAGCTCTTGCACGACTGGAGTTGGCAATCAGTAGCCATTCAGTCATGCAATTGTTCTCTTCAGTGACCATCGCAGCTGGTGTATCTATTGACAAAGCGACAAATCATTCGAAAATGAATTTGAAGATCAGAAATTTGGAAATTGGGTTAGCACAGCCACAGTCTTAATGATCAGTGCATTGTGACGTCACGGCTGTGTCTGCCCACTCTAAGGCTAAGCGTGGACCTGTCTCTCAACAATATTAGAGTTTGTATGCAATCATCTCTCATCCTTCCACGGGACTACGCGAGTATAGTTACTATAAGCATCTCCGCGTTGAAATGTGATACCGATATGACACGTCCACAGCTTAGGTTATGCCGAATGGCTACAATGAGAGGAGAGAAGACAAGACTTTGCAAAAGGTTTTTTCTAAGTATTAGTATTCATGCATTGCAATGATATAACCAAGATTGAGCCACCTGGGACAGGGACGTCAGTCCAACTCGGAGTTTAATGGTGAACTATCATCAAGATTCCGGATGCAAACACATTAAAACCAAGTATTGATTTCAGAAGTAATAATACGAAAGGCTTCATCCGATCTACAACGTTGTCTCTTCGTGCGCTAATATATTTCCCTCATGTTGCGTGGTGATGTCTGATGCATTCATACTTTCTCTAGCTCTTATCAAACTATTGTGTCTGTATAGATTAAGTGAGCTATCATCAAGATAATACCTGTTCCAGTGCCTGTAAGATGTATCCCCTCATCTCTACCGTCAGATGCTGCACCTGCCGCTGGATTTATCGGGTGCTTGGGGCCATCGTGACTTCCAATTGGGGAATGGACACGATAATTTACTTTTACTTAATTTGTTATCATCAAGATGATCTTCTGTCCTCATGAAACCCGTAGACTAGTTGTATCCGACTATGCTGACTACAGCGTTACGGTTCTCCAGTCCAAACAGTGAGAACTGGTTTTCAAAATGAAAGTCCAAAACTGTGCATCCTGCATTGTTATTTCATATTACCAGGATTACGATCCTAACCTTCACTAGTAGACACATTACAATCCTAGGTGAGAAATATCTTTTTCCCATTTGCAAATTCATAATGTCAGCTGGTCAGGTTGGCATGATTTCAAAATTATACATGTTTTGATCAATATTTATGCACTTTAGAAAAATGTGGGCACAATGTATCCTATCGAGTCCACCAGCTAAAACAGATTTTGAACGGTCAGACGTGCATAATCTAGCACAAAATCACGTCGGACTGTTCAAAAATCTGGCTTAGTTGGTGGACTCGATCGCACAACTTGTGCACTCACTTTTGCATGCTATAATATTTCCCTTGGCTCACCATCAAAGGTCTTTAAAAAAATTATGTACTTTGGATGATAATTGGCGAAATGTTCACGAAGGTACACCGGTTGTGTGGCTACATCTTACATTTTCGTAAAAATAAAATCCGGTGAATACATTAGTTTTACCACGCACTCGCTTCTGAACAGAACAAAATTAATGATGAATTTCAATTCAAACCCTTCTTTTTGCTGCATTTTTTCCAAGACTTATTGTCAATTTTTGCGAAAGGTGAAACGATATCCATGTGAACTAGTGGTGGATCTGTATAATAGTACAATAACAAAGCTTCCAATCTCTCTTTTGTGTATGTGTACAATACACAAAAAGCGAGAATTCCCAGAATTCCTAGAGTGCTCAACAGCACAAGTATGGAGCAATACCACAAAGGCAGACGAGAACATAGACAAGAGTCCAGATCAGAGTTGGAAAGCTGCGTTTCATTCATACATGTATAGTAGGGCTAAGGTAAACCTCAGACAACTGACTCAGACAGTTGTCTGAGGTTTACCTTAGCCTTGCTATGTGCATGAAACGCGGCGTTTCAACGATGATCTAACTGGTATGCTCTGTTGTCTTGTACAATCTACAATGTACACTGTACGTGCATCACTTTCTTGTATGCACTTAGTCGCTGGCTGTTCTGACAAGTTCCTGTCATACAGCTGTCAACAGACCAGCCCTGTGCACCAGTGCGTTCAGCAGGGGATGCATGACGTTATCAGTTTATGCTTTGGCTCAGAGACCATACAGTACTGGTAGTGAGTTTTACGCTACAGTGATGGTGCAGTTATGTACATGTACATGTACACAATACAATGGAGACAAAATGCTGTGCAGCTGTAACTTCAAGTCTTGGCCACCATCACACAGCCGCACTTGGATTCATGCTGAATGCTGCTGTATGATAATCAATGAAATTGGAATTTACAGCCACACCGGCTTCCGCCTCCATTGTATGTTAATACTGATCTACCAATTAGTTCATAGAGCAGTCAGATTTAAGGTGCCCTGACGAATCTAAATGTTTAGTTACTTCGTTAAAATTGTTTCTGGCCAGTTATAACAAAATTGAATTGTTTCATGCACATCACACCGCTGATTGCCATAAACGTCAACACACACATTATAACAATGTACATGCACGTCGTCTACAACGTACGTGGTGTTTGACTGTTATCAAACTTCTTACCGCCATCGTCCGGCACCACTGGTGTTGGTGAGGCCATAGCCTGTCCACAGTTCACCGTCATCACCAGCAGCAGCAGCAATGGAGCCAGATACAGTAGTAGGTATGCCATGATACTGCCTAGCTGTAGGCTGCGCATAGCTACACCTGACACCAGAGGTTAGTTCGCAGTATCACTATCAGACTACTGGGTTAGCTATCGGACTCGAGAACACCTGATGATCAACTGGAGAGGAATTGATTGAGAAACAAGAATTGTGGGCCCCTCAACGTTACCAGCACCTAATATTCTAACTCACTGCCGCTCATGTACATTCATACGTTAATTAAACGGAGTAAAGCTTGAATATGCACATTGTGGCCTTGACGACTCCAAATCCGTGCCTGGAACGGCGATCGCGAGTCACCTCACGCCCTAGTAGTGACAACCTGTCTGGTTCCAGAACATGACATTGACAGTTTAATATTATTATTCACACATATTCGGCGGATGAGTACGCGTGGCCCATGCACCGTGGGGACCCACGAATACAAACCAGCATATGTTCCCTCAGCAATACAAGCAAGCAAGCACGCTTGACAGTTTGGCACACAATAAACCAGTCCATGGCTGACAAAACAACTTTATCCTACATCACGTAGATGTAGATGTACGCAGCGCATGTGCTGTACACAGTTGAGCATGTCCGTGGTGTTTGCGCTCTTGCAGTTGCTTCATTATAGCAATAAAAACTGCTTTATGGCAGTTTTCTAAAAAAAGTTATTGTGTTCTAGTCCATGGACCCCGTCTAAAAAGTAAGAAATTAACGAAATGTGATAGCCGAAAATTAAAATTTCACACAAAACCTCACAATAATCACAACACTTGAAATGCTGCTTTCAACCCTAAACTTGTACTGCACCAACAATTGGCAACATGCATGTCATGCATGCATAGGAAAGAGGATCACGAGGGGAAAAGGTCTTCTACATGTAGCTTTTCATTCTGTGTGTGATTATTGTGAGGTTTTGTGTGAAATTTTAATTTTCGGCTATCACATTTCGTTAATTTCTTACTTTTTAGACGGGGTCCATGGACTAGAACACAATAACTTTTTTTAGAAAACTGCCATAAAGCAGTTTTTATTGCTATAATTTCTTTTGTTTTTTTCTGTCACCAATCAATGGAATGCCCTATATCAATATGTAAATTTAAACTAAATGATGGCCTTCACATCATAATCAATACCGTATTATACGCATTGATGTGCAAGCCTTTTCTTGCAGAAAATGGCAAAATGCATGTTCTTCTGCGGGGAAACATGTGAGTACGTAGTGGTGGACCGTGGTAATACTTTTTTTATACGGAGGTCATTCTGTGCATGTTGCTGTAGCAGAATTTCATGACTCTGTCATAAAATTGTTTTGCCTTTCAGATATTTCGGATCTCCCCACCCTCGATCAGATTTATTTGAGAAATGTAACCAGGTACGTGTCGCAGATGTTTTTGTTGATTCTGTGTTTATAATCATGGTTTATAATCATGGGTTTTCGTGATAAGGTCATCCTGCATCATATTGCACTGAAATCGTAATCCTGTTGATGTCGATACAACTTTTGGAAGTAGTTCAATGACTTCAAACTGTTAGTCCACGATTTTCTAAAACAACACAGCAAAAGAGGAACAATAAACATGACATTGTATTAAAATGTAAACAAATACATTGCTGAGTCCGACACCTCCTTCCAACAACTACACTGATCTTGAGGATAAAAGGGGCAAGGCGTTGGAGGTACTGAGAACAAGGCACTCCATAATAATAAAATCTTACACATCTTTTGGTGAGTATGAATGATATCCAGTCGAACCTCTTTAGGACGAACACCAAGGGACCAATGGTATTTATTCTGTGAGTTTGTCTTAACCTATTCCCCCCCCCCCCCCCCCCAGTGAATACAATTATTTCTCCAATAGACATACGAATAGATTTCTTCTACAGCGAAAGATGATTCTAGGTCACACCAACTCATTGACTCGTCTCATATGAAACAAATGAGTCACTAGAGAGGTTCTGCAAAACGAAAATGGGTACAAACTTTCGTTCTACACAATGAAGTGCGAAATTTCGCACGAACTTTCGCAACTTTGGACGCGAAACTTGCAGGGAACGCGAAATGAACTGTCGTAGGAAAATTCGTGAGATCGGGTCATGGCGTACGTGCACTTGGCCCGCGCAAACTACGAAAATGTGCAGAACGCAAAATTCGTGCAAAAATTCGTACACACTTTCGCAAGGACTGTCGCGAAACTTCGTTCGAATTTTCGTTTTGCAGAACCTCTCTACTGAACCTTTCTTTAGAAACATGACGGCAACTGAAACAGCAACAGAGAAAGTACGATACATGTACAGCACATTCTTGCAGGTACATGTACTACAAACAGATTGCAGATCGTAATTCTTGCTTTGGCGGCACGAAACTTTATTTGGGGCAGTGCAATCTCGGCGGTACTCACAAATAATAAATCAAACAGCCCAGACTCGAGTAAACAAATCCAATCATACAAGTACAAGATCTTCACGAGACGAGACTGCACCCATTGGCTTGTTTCGTATGAAGCAAACAAGTTACTGATCCTCTCCACAATGGAGATTTTCCCTGATATGCGAATATATTTTGCAAACTCGGTCAATGGGTCCTTGAACCTTTCCCTCCAGATTGGGAACTGCCAACGATAGTATGCCACTGACCAGTGCCTTACTTGTAACGTACCAATGTACAATGAATATGAGTATTTCGACAACACATCTAACATAAGCCTTACCGTCAAGAAGGTGAACTCGCGTTCTTCGCACACTCTGGACAAGGGCAAAGAGATAAAAATGGATCTAAATCCGAATAAAATCAGCACACGTTTCCGTAAATGAAAGGGTGAGCATAAGCAAATGAATCGAAGGAAACAAAGAGATCCTGTCAGCTTTTCCATTATTAATTTTATTGCATTCCGCCCAAAATCAGCACACTTTTCGTAAATGAAAGAGTCAACACAAGCAAATGAATCAAAGGGAACTGGTCAACTCACCTGTCATTGAGTAATATTCCGCGAAAGGAGGTCTCAGCAGCGCCGAAACGAAATAAGCCAGGCCAGGAGACGAAATATCCGAAACAGCTCATACAAGAAGCAGTTCCAAAGAAGGAAGTTCCTCGCGCATGCACATCCGAACGTATACGTTCGAACACGGACTGCATGCACTGCAACACAATGTCTGCCGTGCACGTGCACCGCACGCGGCTACCAGCCGTTGGTAGATCTAATACCGAGCACCTTACGTAGAGACTTACGTAGCCTAAGTGAAATACCGAGCACCTTACGTAGAAACTTACGTAGCATAGCGGTGTCGTTTTTCTTGCCATGTGAACACAATAATAGAAAAGCTGACAGGATCGCTTTTCTAAATACAAGGCTTGTACATGTACATGTATGTGCTGCATGCAACTCATTATGCTAGGCTACTACAATAATGCATGTCCCAGTCCCAGAGATGCTCGCCACTTTTGGCTGTTTTCAAAATCACAAATTTCGCAAATTTCTTCATTTTCACAAACTACTTCGCACCGTTTACGCAACCGTAAGCAGTGAAGCGCCCTAGAGGAGACCATTGAAGTGTATGTGATCCTCCGCTTCAACAAGAAGCGCTGAAACATTTTATCAAATCATCATACTCAAATCAGTGAACAGCAACTGTTTCGCTCTGTTTGAGCTCCTCAGCACAGCTCAGAGGACCGAAGCGCAGCTCTTCGCAATGAAATACGTTTCCGTGAAGCAAAGCATTTTTATAAAGACCTGGAAACCCCGCCAAGAGTGCTCGAAATGCTCCAAGAGCAGTGAGCGTTGCAAATCATCATAAAAAGCCGAGTAAAAGACCGAGGCGAAGCTGAGGGCTTTTACGAGGTTATAATTATCTCCTACGCTGACCAAGTACGACGTCAATATTAGATTTATCACGACTAACCAAAGCATGTGTGCAATCTCTAAAAAGCAGGCAAATATAAGCAGTCAATGTAGCCCTAAGGAGTGAAATATGCAGGTATATTTTGACTGCTTAGGTGTGGCAAAAGTCTATGGGAGTCAATACTAAGGGAGTGATAATGCTAGTTGTTATCATGAATGCTGTGTGCCAAACGACCACAAACAGGAAAATGACTCATTCCATGTCTATTCATTGTCCATAGATAACAATTAAATTGTTATCTATGGATAATGAACAGATATGGAATGAGTCATAATTTTTTTCACAGAGGAAAACATGTCACACAGAGGAAAACATGTCAGAGGAAAACATGTCATGTTTTCCTCTGTGAACAAAATTATGCATTCATATAATGTGCTTCAAAGTACGAATAGCTTTACTCAGGCAGTTTAATATGCTGCGCTGCAATACAGTATTGTATATTTTCGCTGCTTTTTTGCTTGTTTTTGGCCTCATTTTATGCACGACAACTCGCTCATTTGAGTTGCGATATCAGTAACCTTTGAGCTCTGTTTGATAATGTGGATGCGACTCCAGCAACTTTTTGTTCCGTCATGGTTGCGAACAGCATAAGTTGCGAATTTGTTTGGCGTCTTAGAGAAAGGGCAGAGAAAGGGCAGGGAAAGGGCAGAGAAAGGGCAGAGAAAGGGGTACTCCAGTACTAGCCACAGTATGGTACTGAAGCTGGAACATACAGGGAAACCTGTCTACGACGACCCCTCAAGGGACCTTCAAAACGTGGTCTCTGTTACCAGGTGGTCGTCTTATCCAGGGTCATTTGACTGGAAATAGCATCCCTTAGTCCTGGTTTCAGTGGTCTTCTAGGACAGGTGGTCGCCTTATCCGAGCGGTCGCCTTGACAGGTTTTACTGTATATGTTAACGTTAGAAACACTGCCAATGAAAAAAGGAACAGAACTGTCAAGTACTACAGTAATCAAAATGGAAAGAAGCCGCTGGGATTGCGTCTCTCTCACTTCATTGGCCCAGGATGCTGCAGAATGTGATCACTAAGATAGTAATAACTGATAACTTTGTCATCAGTGCATTACTGGTCAAGAAACTGTTGGAGAAGAAAGAGTTGCAGTATGAACCACTCTGGTAAATCGAAATGAACTACCATCTAGCTTCATTGCCAATAATCGCGGATTGAATTTTGTTTTTCAAGATTTACATTGGAGGATCGCAAAATGGTAGACGTAGAAGGTAGAAGTAGCAAGAATTATCAATGATCCACCTAGTGTAGACCAAGTGGAGCCATATGTTTTACATGGTGAGAGTAGG